CCCCTCTCCCCTCTAACCCCCCCCCACCCGGCCTGGCTTCCAGCCACCTAATGGTCTTACTGATGTTAAGGACCAAGCCACTGAGAACAACGTTTGCGGTTTATTTTCCAGTCTGTTTTTTTTCCTTGTTGCCCCATATTATTCTCTGCAAATGATGAAATGAGAGGGAAAAACATTATTTACAGCTATACTATACAGTTATAACGGTTATGACCAGAAGACGCCCCGCAGTCCATCATTGATCAGATGCCATGTTGAGGCACATTAGGTTGGAGTTCGATTCTAAAGCTTGGCTATCGGCTGAGGAAGGCTGACATGTGGGTGACCATGGGACTGTGGTCACACACACCTGTGCAGAACGACTACGCTGGAAACCTCCCCATGCAGAACACAGGTTGGCAGCTCTCACTTCAAGAGTGGAAATAAACCTCTGCTTCCTGTCCGCTGAACTATATTCGCTTCTAATGTGCCAGACCTGATTTTTGGGGGGTGTCCACCTCCTTCTGTTATCTTTTTTACTTTATATGGGTTTTAAAAACCCCTCCCCCTTTTTTTGAAGTCAGTCATTCATGGGCAGGCTGTTACTTATTTGTTTGTTCGTTTGTTTTAAAGAAATATTCGAAGCATATTGCTCATCGGACACGTGGCACATGGTTGATGCTGGGCCTGCCGACCGCAGTGCTAATTACTGTTTATGGCTGGCTTGGAAGCGGAGGACAAAACCCCCGGGGACTGAGACCTGCTCACTGGCCGCCAGGGATGGGCGTGTCCACGGGAGCCAACGGCTGCTCTACCTCGCCGGCACAGATAGTTGCCATGGCGATCCACTTTGTGCGCTAAAAGGACCGTTTACGGGGAGAGGAAGTCGACGCACTTATCCGCACCACCGGGGCAAGCGGTAAATGGATAGTGCCGGTTAATAATTCACGGCTCTGATGAAGAGTGCAGGGCACACGCGGGCGAGACCCGCTCCGATCACCGCGTTATGAAGTCAGCCTGTATTTGGTTTCCACGGCGACGCTGGATTGACACCTGTCATACAAAATGCATGCGTGTCCGGGCAGGTCAGGAGTGCCCTTCCCCAAAGGTGATTCTGGTTCCCCTTTTTCTGTTATGTCACTGTCTCACTCCATATCCCATAGGCATCCTCCCACTCCATCACCACCAGCACCATCATCTGCTGTAAATGTAGAAACTGCCTCTGAGCTCTTTGACCCACGACAGTTACATAACCCAGGAGCTACACTGGGGCACTGGGGCGCACCTTCCGCCAAGATGGGGAAGCCAACAGGCTATAAGCTAACAGGCTATAAGCTAACGGGCTATAAGCTAACAGGCTGTCTGCTGTCCAACCTCAGAACTGTGAAACGGCCTCCCCCACATCTGGCCCTCAGAAAGATGGGAGGGGGGAGGAACCTGAGAAAGTATAATTAAACTTGCAGTGCAAACCTGATACACGTCTCCCTTTGATCCAGTGGGTGCAGTGTTTTCTCTACGAAAGCAGGTGTTGAGTGTTCTAGCATCTTCAGATGAGACCTGAATCTGTACCACATACTCCGTCCGCACTGAGGTCCCAAGCGCACACACCACTGTATTAATTGGACAATTTTAAGGGTTATAGTTTGCCAGTCAAAAATTAAATTGATTGCTTCACAGTCAAGGTCCTGAAGGGCTGCTTGTTTGCCTTATGTGAAGGACATCGCTTTGTCCCCATGAACACTCGAATGACAGGAAGATTGAAACCCGGATCCCAGCCCAGTGTCCTAATCACATCAGTAAAGGTCCCCTCCTGAGTCTGGCTTGCAGTAACGCAGCACATGCGGGATTTTGGTTCACTGCCCGGGACAATATGCCAAATAATAACAACATTGATTATTCAGTTATAGGCCCAGCTCAGGGACACCCCCCATGGGTCTCAGCTTAATGACACGGTGTGTGTGTGTGTGTGTGTGTGCAGGTTGTTTGATCTCCACTCATACTGAAAGAAGGCCTTTTTTGTTCAGGTGCCATCTCAGAAGTCTAAGTGAGGCCTTGTTCAGGCAGAACTCAACCCAAAGCAGCTGAAATGAGGTCTCTTTGGTCAGGATAAAATTCAGAAGTGTGCCGTCGTTTTGTCAGGGCTCAACTAAAAAGGTGCCTTTCCCACTGAAGATTTCATGGGTTGTCTGTATCAGGAACTTCTGTAGCTCCGCACCACCTTCGTGTGTCACTAAACCTCTATTTTTTATATATTTTCGAACTGCGATCATTCAATGCCACACAATCGAAAACTGCATAAGAAGCGGGCTGACTGTACGTCCGAGAAACTACAATCAGACCGAGTTCCTGCAATGGGAACATGACAGCAGTTCCTGGTTTCTGAAAAAGTTCCTACAGTGGGAAAGGACCTAAAGAGGATGGAGTGAGGCCTCATTTGGCCAGGACTCCATCTAGAGGCTGAAGTGAGGCCTTGTTTTGTCAGGACTCGATCTAGAGGCTGAAGTGAGGCCTTGTTTTGTCAGGACTCGATCTAGAGGCTGAAGTGAGGCCTTGTTTTGTCAGGACTCAATCTAGAGGCTAAAGTGAGGCCTTGTTTCATCAGGACTCCATCTAGAGGCTGAAGTGAGGCCTTCTTCAGATAAGACCAGCAAACTAGGTCTACTTTGAGTGTAATTGGGTTAAATGGGACCAAAGTGGCATCTTTTTGGATCTGGGATGGCCTATAAAACAGGGATTGGTAGCAGCATTGTTTGCTTTGAGCTTCAGAATAGAATCCTTTATGGTTTCATCTGTTCTTCATACAGAGAGAATAAGGATGTTAAAATGCATTAGGTACAGAATATGATTGATGTCCTGTTGTCTTGAGCATCTCCTTCATATTGTACTCAGTGTAATGCATTGACCTGAATCACTGGTGCGATCGTGCATCAGCCCCACCAGATATGGCCAGCGTGGTGGGGATGGGGTCTGTCACGGCCACGCATGAGGCTGCGGGTGAGTGACGGGCCACGTCGGCACGACCGTGGCTCAAGGAGCGCTTAGTGTGAGCGTTTTGAACCGTTAATCTGTGAGTATCCCTCCCTGAGCTTCCATCCAGGGGATATTTGAGCTTGGCTGTTGCATTCGAAGGCACAGTTGGAGATAAAAGGGCTGTATTGGGTTCTCATTTTTAATTAGACAGACTGAGCCTCTTAACATCAATTAACTTATTGCATAACCCTTTCTCCAGGCCGTGTACTGATGGCATACACTCGCAATATACTGTACAAATTTCACATATCTTGTTCTTGTATCTGATTGTTTAACAATGTAATTAGTGTTTGGAATACTATGTTACAGAATGCATAGTATAGTTCCCCCGTGTAAGTGGTGTTTCCTCTGAGGTATAGGTGGGGTTTCCTCTGAAGTATAGGTGGGATATCCTCTAAAGTATAAATCTTCAAAGTCTGATTTAAGTTTAAGAAATGTTGCTCTGGCCTGGGAGAGTGCACAATGAGCGGCATGATGGCCGTATAGGACGGAGATGGACAGGGCTTGGCTGGTGTGCTTCTTAATCATCTGGGGAGCTTCTGCCCTTCAAGTGTCCAGAGCAGACAGCCCATGATATCGACAGACCAGGAGAGGCAGGAAGCAGCAGAAGTTATCCCAGACCCAGGGGTCGGGTGGGTGGCTTGTGGTGGGGGGTCATGGGGCCTGGAAATTGCAGCGAGCCTGGGAGGAGGACACATATAACTAAAATATAAAAGTGTGATATGGGGATGGATGAATTTCATTAGAGGTGTGGATTTTCAGTTACAGAAAATGGATGGATGGGTGTGGATTTTCATTTGGGGTGGAGTTTGAACGCGATAGCTTCGAGGTGACCCCCCCCCCCATGGGAACATGACCGCTTCTCCTAACTGACCTTTCACTGACCCTTCGCAGGAAGTTGCACCAGCAGTTTGAGGTGTACAAGGACCAGGTGAAGAAGCTGGGGGACGAGGCTCAGCAGACACCGGAGCAGAAGGACGGCGCGCCCACCTGCGGAATATGCCAGAAAACCAAGTTTGCCGATGGCTGTGGCCATATTTGTTCTTATTGCCAAACCAAGTTCTGTGCGCGGTGTGGTGGACGTGTGTCACTGCGATCAAACAAGGTAGGGCTCCGCCCTCTGCCCATGGTGGACGCCTACCCAACACTATCCCTTATGCTAGGGCCGAGATTAAACATAACTCAGACCAATTTCCTTAACACCAAACATCATATCACAGTTTGACCTTCACTAACCTAAAAATGTGGACAACACAGATTTGCATTGGAGATGTAGATAAATGTAGAAAACATATGAACGTATGATAGTTACTTAACTAAATGCTTTGCTCAGCCTAAAAACTGATCACAACGATAGAAAACGAAAGGTAGAAACACTTCAATTGTCTTGAACGTATAATAAGATCTGGTTGTTTGGTTGCTAACTGGTCAGAGTTTTTGTTTAACTTCATAAATAAGCAATTTGTTTTGAAGACGTGGCTCAACAGAACTCAGTTTAAAGCAATTTAATCATTGAAACTTTATGAGTTTCTCTTAAGAAATAGTGTTTTTTTCCCAAGAAATTACAGTTTTGTTACGCAGTTCTTAACCTTTGCAATTTATATATGTCGGTTAAATTAACGCAGGGTTTATTTTGATCGGTCTGTTTGAAAGTTCTCTCAAAGGAACATTTGTTTCCAAGATCTGTTGTTGCTCGTGGGAATTATATATTTTCCTAGAAAATGGTCACAAACAGTCTGAACAACTTCTCCATTTTTATCTTACATTCCCAGTTGCGAGGGCTGGATGACTTTTGTAGAGAGACCTCAAGCGTCCTGCAATTTTTAAAGTATCTCTTTATTTATTAAGTAATATAAATAATACCTGTGACGCCTTAGTGATATCGAGTTTCTTTCGCTGCACCTTCTGTGGTCACCCCCTCAAACCAGACAAGAGACAGTCTATACTTAGCAATCATACGAGGGCGCCTGTCAACTTAACTTTCACACAAACCAGAGTTACACTTGGCTGGCTGGTTACGCCAAATGACCTTTTCGTTCTCTCTCACAGGTTTAGTTACTGCTCGTAAATGTTTTACCACCGAAGAGCGCACTCGATATGGGTCATAAGTTTAGAGATGTTCTGTCTGCCATTGTCTGGTCTTTCCTGTAGCCATGTGACACATTTAACTCTGATGTCATTCTCTTACCTTCCTCTCCCCCTCTCTCTCTGTTCTGCATTCCTGCTTTCCCGGAATTGCAACAGGAGGACAAAGTGGTTAGCATCTTTCCTTATTTTACCTGCTAAATATTTATGAAGTATGTCATTTAACCCTTTAAGGTGCTGTGTGATGCAAAACCCAATATGGTTACCCCTGAAAGGAAAGAGATTTGATTTGCAGTGGGTTAAAATGTGGGGTATTAAGAAAACTAGTTTAAGAATTCATTCCATTAGTGGGATATCGGTCAGAGTAGTATAAGAAGGGGATTGGTTTCATCTGTGTGTGATTAGTCAGACTAGTAGAAGAAGGGGATTGGTTTCATCTGTGTGTGATTAGTCAGACTAGTTGAAGAAGGGGATTGGTTTCATCTGTGTGTGATTTGTCAAACCAGTAAAGGAATAGGATTATTTAATCTGTGTGTGATTAGTTAGACTAGTAAAAGAACGGGACTGGTTTCTTTGGTATGATAATAGGCAGAGCAGTAAAATTAACACCAATTTCTGTAGAAATAAAGGCAACAGCATGTCTGAACACCCAGGAATGTCAAATGGGAAAATAGTGCTGCAACAGCCCACATTTGTTTGTTCACACACCCTGCCGGGTAACTTGGATTAATCTGTGCACTGGATTTGGTCAATACTGGGGTTACTTTTTCAGCTTATTAGTTTTGTTTCCTGGTTTGTTTCCTCCATGCAGAGAAACCCTCAACAGGACAGATGGATTTGCAGTTACAGCTCAGTCTAAACTGAGTACATTTCAAAATGTGTTTATAAGACATGTGAGAAGCTTTTTGAGGGTTAGTAGGAAATTGGCTGAAGTGATTAAACCTTGCTGCCATAATGAATGTTGGGCCCTAAACTGCAGCTTGCAGATGAGCTCGGTGAGGCTTCAGAGCATCCCAGATTGGCCGAGTTTCCCTCGGCACCGCTGGACGGGGTGACCCAGAGACCGCTACCCCATCTGTGGGAGGAGGGGGTAGGGGCAGGGGGCTGTCGCTGTGCCCAGGGCCTCCTTTTGTGGTGCCAGGAGAATGGGCAGGGGATCGGTTTTCAGGATCCTGCGGGCAGGGCTGTCACAGAATCCACAGCAGGTGCAGGGCTGGCACCCAGGACCCGAGCTCAGCTCCGGAAGCAGGTCAGGGCTGCCCTCGGATGAGCCTGTTCGGTGACTCCGGGACCTGCTGATGCCAAACTGTCCACCCGGCAAATTTGTAGATCTTTGCATCATTTCCCTGAATTGCCCCCCTGAGTCTTATTCCTAGGGGCAAAAGCAGTCCCCAAATTCTTGAAATTTCCCTGTTCCACTTATTTTTGTAGTGGTTGCCCTGGAAATGTTCAGTGCTGCACCATACTTGCAAAGTTGAGATTTAAGCAGAATCTAATTGTAATGAAGTGTAATTTGGGGAGATCGATCACTAAGCTTCAGCTTTTCTGATTGGCTGCTAGGATCTGGGACGCATCCAGGCTATTGGTTGTCAAGGCTGGGAAGGGCGGCAGGGTGTGGGTTCGGCCTGGGTGGGCAGCGCCAACACCGTGGGCCCCGTTGCTGCGTATGTGGCTATGTTGAGGAGCAGGTTCCCTGGACCCTGCTGACGTTCAGGTGACCGGATTCACTTCCGAGACCCTGGCAGCTGTGCACAGACCTTGGAGCTGTGCCCCTGAAAGGCTCGGCAAAGGATGGCTTCAAACAGAAGTCAAGGGCAGCCGGCCGAATAGCGGTTAAGGATCCGATAGTTCAGATGCCAGGATGTAGGTTTTGTATTTGTGACACAAAGCTATATGATAGGACGCTATATGACGATGAGATGTGTGATGTTCATTCAAAAAGGCCACTGGTGCCTTTCCGATTGTCTTACTTCCTCTCACAGGAGTGGCGAGAGCGATATTATTTTCTATGGCAGCGTCACTCTTTCCAGTTAACTGTGTCTCAAGCAGCCAGAAAAACCACTGGATGTCACATGTTAGATGCAGGGAAACGTTAAAAGAGATAAAGAAATCGGGGTGGTTTTCTTGACTCCAATTGGCCAGCTTGCGCTTTAATACGGCTCTTCGCGGGCGTCTCCTCTTATAAGGCGGGCTGGCCGGCCGTACGCAGCGGCTCCCTCCCGGCGCTGCACTTTGCGCTCTTTGAGCACAGTTGGGCTGCGCGGCACCGCACGGGGACACTCTGCATTCTTAATAAGCCGCAATCAGCTCCGGTGTCCGGAGAATCGCGCCTGCATCCATTAATAATGAAGACATAACTAGTATCAGAGTGATGGCAAAAACATGATTAAGCTCTTCCAGCTCACGCCCGCAAGTCCTTTTTCGGCGAGTCGCCGCGTCTCCCGCGGTCTGACCTGCGAATGTCTGTCGGCAGTTTGCCGTTGTTCTGCTTACTCGTGCAGTCATTTAATAGTGATGTATCCCCCTTTTACACTTCTCATGAGGAATTAAGGATCTTTACAGGATTTTAAATGCTGAATATTTTTTATTCTGACTTTGAACTACCATTTCTTTGAGGTAGAGTCGGGGGTGGGGCTGGAGCGGGGACCGAGTGGATCGCTTACTGCGCGTAAAGGCGAGTGGCTGCATCAGACTGCAGTCAGTCTGAGCTGCCGGTGTCGCCGGTGCTGCGAAGGGACCCTGCGAGCCGAAAAAACACGTGCTGTCAGAGTGGCAGCTCCGTCGGGATTATTAGTCGCTTCGGTTCTGTCACCGCGCATCTGACCGGCACCATGGGTAAGGCACCGTGCGCTCCGTCTGATTCACTCGTCCCGATTTAATCCAACAGGTTCGCTTAATTGGTCGTGTCAGGTCCGGGATAAAATTACGTAACTGTCTATATGTTTGAGAGTGATAGCAGTTTTGAATCATTATTTGAAGGAGCGCTGTCTCGATGCTACGTTTTTGTTACAGCCATATTTATTCATAGTACGGCTGAGTGACAAAACGCATTTATAGCGTTATTAATATTGTTTTTAAGCTTACATTTATCTTGAGGTATTTAGATAATGATTAAAAGGTTTACTGTCATCCGGGTATTGTTATTGGAACAGGTATCGAAAGCAACACAATAGATGGTTAGATAACTGGTATTTGCAAATCCTTGAGGTCTTAAATGAAATAGATGGCATTTTTCTTTTTTTTTGGTTTAATTTATTACTTATGTTTTTGAACGCTGTTATTCAGTAATAAAAAAGATGCACAAATGTCGAGCATGTCTCATCAGCTGTAGGCTAAAATTAGAAACTAATTAATTTTTTATGTCCCGCGCGTGTTGCTGAATTGTGGCATGTGAGTCGAAGATCTCACTAATAACAAGTCGTGTTTCAATGCAGTGCCTTGGTGTATTTATGCAGAATCGGAAATTATTGCAGAAATTATCACACATGAACTACAATCACAGTTCAATAAGTATAATTCGTTTGAGATTTTTTAAATAACTTCCTACTAAATTGATATTAAAGTATATCATGAGGATATTATCTTTTATATTACGTTTCAAGAAACGTTCATTTAGGCTTACGTGTTAATTTCCATAGAATCCGTACAGGTTAAATAAGTTGATGTTTATTTATTTTTGGTTTCGTTTATTCTTCGTCAGATGGATATTTATTGTGCGGATAATCAGTATGCAGTTAAAATCTATATTCTGTCCCAGCTAGACTTCACTCCTTTTAAGAGCAGAGGGTGTTAATGGGCTTTTTAATGAGCTGTGAAAAGCAGAACTGAAAGTGGGGAAACAAGCTAAAGCTATTGAATCGTTTGCACATTAGTATGTGCTATGAATCGCTATGAGCAAAATATTTTGTCTTTACTGTGATCATAAATAATGTATGGAATTATTGTAATATATCCAGTATATTACCCCCCCTCCCCCCGGTCTATTAAAAACATCAGTTTTGTTGCATATTACACATTTAAATATCCATACATCCATCCATTACCATCCGCTTATCCGGGGTACGGGGTTCGGGTCGTGGGGGGTTGCAAGTTCAGGATAGATACGCAGACCTCCCTCTCCCGAGCTACCGCTACCAGCTCTTCGGGGGGTGGGGTTCAGAGGCGTTCCCCAGGCCAGCCGAGAGATATAATCCCTCCAGCGCGTCCTGGGTCTGCCCCGGGGCCTCCTCCCTGTAGGGCAGCCGCCCAGGAGGCATCCGCGCCAGGTGTCCAAACCACCTCAAAGGGCTCCTTTCGACGTGGAGAAGCAGCGGTTATACTCTGAGACTCTCCTGCATATCCGAATTTCTCACCCTATCTCTAAGGGAGAGCCCAGACACCCTGCGGAGAAAACTCATTTCGGCCGCCTGTATCCACGATCTCATTCTTTCGGTCATTACCCACAGCTTATGACCATAGGTGAGGGTAGGAACGAAGATGGACCAGTAGATCGAGATCTTTCCTTTCCGGCTCACTTCTTTCTTAGCCACGACGAACCGGTTAAGCGCCCGCAGACGCCGCTCCGATCCGCCTGTCCGGTTCTCGATCTCGCCTACCCTCAGTCGTGAACGAGACCCCGAGATACTTGGACTTCTCCACTTGGAGCAGTATCTCCTCCCTGACCTGAACCTGAAGAGGGCAATCCACCCGTTTCCGGCTGAGAACCATGGTCTCGGACATCCCCGTCGTTTCGCACTCGGCTGGGAACCGCCCGAGAGCACTCTGGAGGTCCCCAGCAGTTGAAGCCAACAGGACATTTAAATATAATAATCATAATTAATTTATAATATTTATATTAATATTATTCTTTACTGATGATGAAATAAGCTCCTTTCTTCACTTTACTGCACTAAATTTTGCAAGATTACATAGGAGATAATAACCGGGAGGCGTTTTTTGCCCACAAGAGGGCGATCTGCGAACAGGCTCATCATTGCTGAATGAAGGTTTTCCCGGAACCTCCCTGTCGGGCGGCTGTGATATAAATTCACAAGAGCTAAAATGACAGCTAAGCGCAAATGTCATGGCTGTAGGGTGCTTTCTATCTGAAGTGACTTAAAACATGTGTTAGGAAAAATAAATAAAACATCCCATGAGCCATTTACATGAAGCGAAATAACCCCCAGATGAAAAACTACTTTATTACTTATATAATAATAATATATTATTTATTTTATTATATAAGTCCGGGAGCGTCTCTCTTTTCATTAATAAAGGCATGATGTGATGTTAGAAAACGCGCTGTTTTCCAGTAGCATCAGCACAAAAATCACTCTTGGTATTTTAAACACCCTGTAAGATGATACACGCGTTTAGCCTTTGCATCTGCACCCGACCCGGGTACGAGGGCTCAGCGGGTGACTGAGCCGGGTGTTAATCATCCCGCGGGTTGGACATTCGGGTCACCGTCCAGCCCCTGCATCCCCATCATTCACACTGTCACTGCGTTTCCTGTTCACTTAAGCGGATGTAAATATAAAAGGTCTCAGCGCCGACGTTCAGCTGATACTCTGGAAATTTCTGCCGATGAACCCTGACTCGTCCCTAGCAGGGCAACATTACGCTTTATATTAATCCTCATACTGATCCCTTTAATGGCGTTTGCAGGGCTCATCGTGTGTTTTTAATATATCTGGTTATCAGAAAATCACGAGAATGACACTGGGTATTTATTTAAGACAATTCGATAGAGATCATGATTTGAGAAAAAAAAATTCCTGAAGACAAATTATTTTGGTGATAGGAGAAGCTGTTTGTAAGTCATTGGCAGCATCCAAAGAAACGTAAGGAAACGAGGTTAACGTGCAGCCCTGCACCAGGCGCTCAGTAAGTGGGACATCCGGTGGGACCTTGACTCAACCCTTTCACATCTTATTTCTCTGCGCGTCTTTCTTTCCCGTTTTGGACAGTCTTGGGGCTTCGCTCCCAGTCTTACGGCCGCAGCGTGAGCAGGTTTTCATTCGGAACGGAGCACAAAGGCGCTCGATTGAACTAATTATTACCTTAATTGAATCGGTGATGCAGGCTTCGCTCTTAGTACTGAGGGTGCACGTGATCTACAGGGGACTGTGAAACTGCGAACATAGCAGCTTGTGGTGTACACTGTGTATGTATCTGGGATGTGAATTAAAAGACAGTTGTATGTGCTGGGGGGTTGCGTATTTGTGCTTTTGGATGTGTGAGCGCCCAAGCTCCTTCTCCCCCCTATCTCTCCGCCACATAAGAATCCATGGATGCTTTTTACTTTTTTTTTTTTTTTTTTAAAAAAGAACATTCCCGAAACATATAGATCATTTCTGGCCCATATGCGTACGTGGTAAGCTGTGAGGTGTGCTCCGGAATAGCGGGCGCTATATTCAGATACGCTGGGCTGAAGCGATTCGTCTTGCTGGTAGCTGCTCTCACCTGGACTGCTGTAATAAAAACCCAGATGAGAAAGTGGGTTACATGCGAGGCGGGCAGCTATTGGGAGCCGCGACACTAGTGTCTCTCATGGCAGTTAGTGAGGTAATACGATAAAAAAAGTTTTTCAATAATTTCCAAGATGCGGGGGATTTCATGGGTTGGCTCTTGTGTTTGTTAGGGGGCGGGTTAATATGTTAGCTCATATTCCAGGGCTGCAGATTTGACACAGATCCCTCCCTCGCCATTTTTCGTGGAACTTGCCTTGGTCCCCCCCCAAGTCCTGCAGCACTTATAATGCTGGATTCGTGTTTTTGATTCGTGTGTTTGCCTGGTAGTGAAAGCCACCCCCCGACTGAGCTCCACATTACACCCGAAATGTAAGGCAGGATTGGGATCCGCAGAATTTAATTGGCCAATAAGATGAATGAATGACATAATGACATTCGGGCACATTGCGTTACACGAGAGAAACCTTGAGTCCGTATCAGATTGTTTCCTTCGATAAGATACTGCAGTGTCGCCCATTTAAGTTCAGGCGAAGCAGGTTTAGGGTAATAACACCAAAAAGGGGAAACCATAGCAGCTGATAACGACTTAATGTTTTGCCGCCCTGCTAATATTTGTGTCATTTGCTGTACTTTTACAAAAAGAAAAAAAAGAGCTGTCGTTGTGTATCGATGATTCCAGCATATTGGCAGTTCTGTTTTCGGTCTGGCTGTGGAAGCACACATCGCTTATGTGTGTAGCTTATATGTGGGTGTGTGTGTATGGGGATGGGGGGTTGTAGCCCCCCCCCCAATAAATCAAAGTCAGCTAATATACCCCCCAGTAATCACGTTTCCCCCGTAATGGGTGGGGACCTCAACCCCAGCAATGTTCCAGCCAAAGTTACGCCCTTAATGCGGGGGAAGAGGGCACCAAAATGTGTTATGAATTGACGATGAGCCCCGACTCGTCTGTTACAAGTCCCTGTCTACACGCAGCCGCTTCCAGAGGTTGAAATCTAGGCGGGATGGGAGACCTGGATACCCGGGAATCAGTGCGATTGACGGCGGCTGGCTGGGGCGCCGCGCTACGGCTTGACTTTATGCTAATCGCGCTCGGGAGGTGTAAGTAAGTAGGTCAGTTCTGATGTGTGATTCGCAGCCTGTCCGTGACGGAACTGGGATAGAAAAGAGGGACGAATCGCGGGAAATATGTAAATGAGCAGCTGGTCCGGAAACGCCGCTCCCTTAGCGCGGCCTCGGACCCGCATCCGTCCGTGATGACAGGAACGACTTGTTTTTCTTTTACCGTTCCTACGCGGTCTTCTCCGTTTCAGTGGGTCACTAATTCTCCCGAGCAGTTGGCTGAGTAGCGGTTTCTGACATGCGCTCCTAACGCGAAGGTTGCTGCTTTGGAGGCCATCGCTGTTGTACCTTTGAGTGTGATGCCAGACATGCTCCAGTGGATTATTCCGTTGAGGACCTGAATGTCATCTTAACTTCAAAATGCGTGACGCTGAGAGAAAAAAAAGATGTTTTTGTGTGCAGTCATTAACCTGCACTGACATTACTAATTTATCTGTCAGCTTTACTAGTAGTAGTGGAATTAAAAAATGTCTATGGCCTTGGCGGTTAAGGCAGTATAACAGTCAAGGAAGTTTATCTAAGGAAAGCTTGGCAGCACAGGGATTGGGGGAATCCTTCTGTTATACCCTTGAGTAAATGGGGCGTAACCCCAATTACCTCAGTAAAATACCCTTGTGAAGATCCATTAGTTTACTATTTTACAATTGTGATATGGTGCTTAATCGGAAGTGCTTCAGTAGCTGCTCATCCGTCATTTTTTATTAACTATGTTTTTTTAATAACCAATATTATTATGGCATTAACAAGCTGAACCAATGAGGTACAGTGTAGAATTGTTGTGCTGTTTGGCACGTTCTGGGTAAAACCTTTGTAATGTGGGGATTTTAACAGTTATTAGTAGCCAAATGAGAAAAGCCTGAAAGTCTGGATTTTTTTTTTTAGGGGGGGGAGGGGTATGGTGGAGGGGGTGGAG